AACCAAGAAGTACCAAAGCATCTCTAGACCGAGATTATTAGACAATATCATGATAACCCTATATACGGACACCCGGGCATCACTAAGATAATAGAACTCATCTAAAGAAACTATACCTTTAAGGGTATAAAGGAAGCTGTAATAGCATATATCCGAAAATGTATAGATTGCCAAAAGAATAAATATAGCACACATCTTAAATATGGAGAAATGCAAGTAATTAAGATACCAATAGCACCTTTCGAGGATATCGCTATAGACTTTGTCATAGAAATACTAAAGTCAATTAATCCAGCTATAGAAGTCTCATATAATAGTATACTCGTTATTATATATCGACTTACTAGCTATATCGAACTTGTTCCATGCCTTAAGAAGATTACAGCGAAAGAACTCGCGTATCTCTTTATGGATAGATGGATGTGACACCATGGTATACCAAAAATAATTATAAGTGATAGAGACAAACTCTTTATATTAAACTTTTGGACCACGTTCACAGCACTCATTAGAACAAAACGAAAATTATTAATAGCCTATCATCCACAGACGGACGGAAAAAACAGAAAGAATAAACTAGACTATAGAAATATATCTCCGAATATACTATAATAATTAGAAAAATAACTAGGTTTCACTACTACCTATGGCACAGCTCGCGTATAATAATAAGATATTAATAATAATAAAACATACACCGTACTACGCAAATCACGGACGATATCCATATCTCTTTAATTAAACACTTCCTACGAATGTCAAAGTAAAAGAAGCCATAGATATAGTAGAAAATATAAAATAGATATACGAACAACTCCGAGAGAATCTCGAGAAAGCTTAATAGCAAGCAATTTCCTACACAAACCAAAAATGTAAAACGGCACCTTAGCTAAAGAAGGGGGATAAAGCATATTTACTTACGAAGAATCTTCGTACCTAGAAAAGAAAACATAAGAAACTAGATTATGTTAAGGTTAGACCATTTTACATTTCCGAATAAATATCACCAGTAAACTATAAACTTAAGTTACCACTAGACGCGAATATACATCCAGTATTCCATGTGTTACTATTGGAACCAGCAGACCAGGATACACTAGTCAAAACCGCCTTCTACCATTAGCCAGAGAAAGAAATAGAATTTGAAGTAGAACGAATCCTACAAATATATAATCTATTTATAGAAGAAGAAGAATATCTCGTTAAATGGAAAGAATACCCATCAAGCGAAAATACATGGGAACCTAAGGGAAACCTCTCTAATTATCAGCAATGCATATAGGAATTCTTCTCAAGAATATCACCACTCTAGCAGCGAAGATTATAACATACCTAGGATGGTAATGGGCTAGAAGCGTCCTAAAACCCATTAGGGAGACCTTCAAAAGCACCCCAGGTGGCGGGAGATAGGGAAGGACCTAAGGGAACCTCTTCCAAGGATAAAAGGAAGCTGGGGACCTCTTGTGATTTGGCTTCCTTAATACTCCGCTCCTCTATGGCAATTACTTCTTTAGCACGCTTGTCTAACAAATCCATCTACTAACGTAATTAATCTTCGCGTGTGTACGCAATACGCAACTCTTCTAATACCTTTTTATGGGCCTTAAATGCAGCTTCCTATATTTCTCTCGATTCTTTTATTTTCAGACGCAACTTCTCTTTCTTGGCAAGTAGTCGCTTAAATTCGGATTCCGAAACTCATATATCGTAGCGCTGACCATAATAAACGCATTCGCCATATTTCCCAGAACGAACATGGACCTTATAGACACGGCTGTATTTAATATAGGTCGAACATTTCTTCACTATAGCTTCGCCAAAAGAGTTAATAAAGTTAGATAAGAGACGACGATAGGAGGTACTAGAAGTGGGTTGTTTAGGCATGATGTAAGACCAGGTGGATACTACTTATAACGCGGGGCCCACTCCAGTTATATCTAGGCACGAGACCAGGTCATATAATCTAAGGGCAGATCTAAGGAAGAGAGGGGGTGATATTAGGATCCGAGATGAATAGTCATCCGGACCACACATATAATTAGGCAAAGTAACCAGGACATAAGTGTGACCGTAGTCACGTGACTTAATTAGAGTGATTAGTGCGCCAAGCCCACTAATCATACTAAGCAACTCGCATACTAATCACTAAGCACGACTTAATTACTATAATTAGTCCAACTGAGTAACTAATTAGGCTCAGTATATAGGAACGTAGGTATGAACCCTTATACTCGTGTTCAACCTATTTATTAATCTATTGTTTGGATTACACTCAGGCTATATTGTTAATTCGTTATATCCTCCTCCAATACTATCATCTCGATAAAAACCCTTCCCTTCCCTCAGTTATCTTGCCCGAGAAC